ATTCTATTTATTACTTTCGAAAAATTAAATTTCAAAAAAGAAAGTGAAATTAAAATAGCGAAAATTGATTAACTTCGAGTCGTCTAAATTCTGTTATACAGATCGGAGTATACCGCAAAGTACAAAAGAAATAGAGAAAATTTTCGCGTAATTGTATAATCATTGCGAAAATTTCAAGCAGGCCACCGTCAAAATATCCAAGCGGCACATTATATCCTCATTATCTCCTTTATCCGTTAAAAGATATTCACTTCGTGAGACAAGCGATGAAATCATCTTGTCTCACGAGCGCAGGTATTATACTTTCGCACGTTTACACCGCCAAGTACAAAGTGTTTTCTAGAGCTATAAAAGAGCGAAAAAGGATGAATAAGAGAGTAGGTGAAAGAAGGAAAGAGCTACCCGCGCTCTCTCTCTCTCTCTCTCTCTCTCATCCCTTCCCTCTCCCTTATCTCTTTCAAAGTGCATGTAATCCTGTCGTTGGAATATCCAACATCCCTCGACACGCTCGCCGTCTTCGTCGTGGTTCGCGTACTCTTTGTTTCGTGTTTCGCGAGTGTCGTATATAGAACGTCGTTCTAGCCGGAGTTTACATCGCGAGCGGATTTACCTGTAAATAAAGGAAAAAATTGAAGTTAATGCTACTAAAACTGCTCCTTTCGGACAAGATACGTATATAAGCTGTCAAACATACACGAATCCGGCAGCGGACGCGAGAAAAAAAAAAGAAAGAACATCTGTTTAATTTAATTCACACTTGCAAAACTCTTTGTACGCGGACGGGGAATTAAAGTTCGTATACGAGCTCCTCGAATCCGATTAAAGTAGCGATTAAAGCAAAACTCACGCGACGGGTTTAGGTTAAACGGCCGAAAACTCATCGTTCTTCGTTTTCTACCTGCACTAATACCCGGCAAGCCGCTATGCGTTCGAGAACGCTACGCGATTACGTGAAAGCGACGAAGAAGAAGTTACGAACTATTCCTCGCGCTCGTGAATCGATCGTGTCGACTATCTTACTCGTTTGGGCACAGATTTGCACTAACACTTTGCTCGTGACTCAAGCCTCGGGATTTCGCAACAAAGTTCCCACTTTTGTGTGCACGTCCACAACGATCGTGCGAACTTGGGTCGTGTCTTCGCGTTACGCGTCGCCCTCGACCTCCACCACTACCATCGCCTTTATCCACCGTTTTCTCACCCCCAACGCCCACGTCTCGCGTGCTTTTTACCTCCAGGCGAGAACTTCCAGAGCATCGACTGGCGAAGAAGAAAAAGAAAATAAAAAACTGAAGAAGCGCAGCTAAGAACGGCGCACGAATAATGCATAGTAGGAATTAATCGAATCCCCCGGCGCTTTTTTGCCACGGCGTCGCGTCGTCCGACGTCGCGACGCATTTGCAACGCGTTTACAACGCGCCTTGCTCGTGCGATTGGCTGCGAAGCCGCACTGCTCTATGCGTGCCAACAAATCAAAAGGAAACCTTGGGAGAATAATTTCCAAGAGTCAGGCTAGAGTTATCCTCCGCTCCTCTTTCACTTGGTGTACGACTCGAGTAAGACACGCGAGCCTTTTCAAAGGAAATAATTCGACCGCGGTGTATCCGCGCACACCGCGTACGGAGAGCTCTCGGCTGATTCCGATGGTCTAACTTCGCTGGCTTTCCAAAGGCAATGTCTCGGCATTCATGCTGACCCCCGACCACAGGAATGCGTGGCTCCGAATACCGCGTGCCAGATGAGTCTTAGCTGTGGTCGCTCATTACGCAGCTTTAACGGAAGCGATAGCAGACGAGAAAGGAAGAGAGAGAGAGAGAGAGAGAGAGAGAGAG